GATTATTAAAGGGACGACAACATTACACGTACGACTGCATGTGTATATATGTATATGTACACACATGCACACATACATATATACGTATTTATGGACCACCCCGACCCTCCCCCATGTACTCACGCCTTTCTCTTTTTGCCTTGTTTAGGAAGGCATTGGTTATTGGAATCGGAGGGATTGCCTGCAGATCGTAACTTTGTTCCTAATATTTGTCACCGCGATCCCGCTATCCAGATGAAAGACGCAGACTCGGATAGAGTTAACAAGACGGAGCGAATGCAAACGGATTCAAAATGCAGTCAGTTGAATACGCCTCGGATCCAAGATGATATACTATGCAGTTTTTCCTTGCACCTTGAATCCTGAGTTCGCTTGAGTACTCATGATCACTGTTGTGGATCGAAAGTTGCATTTTGTACTGCGAGACTATCATTCTGTTAATAGGCATCGGTTTGTGGTTCATACATGTAGTGCTGCTCACTACGCAACTCTAACACTGGTAATGCTGTGTTTTTGGGTGCTGATTTGTTGTTATTGTTACCAGTTTTTCTGTCGCGGGTCATGTCAATCTACGTGTTTGACTTTTTCGCGACACATATACCTTCTCATAAACTGCCATTGTCATGATCAGCCGCGTCAGTTCAATTGTTTCGACGTACAGAGCAAAGAGTCTTAAAGACATCCAGAAACTCGTGTACTCCAACCATGGCTTGTTTAAGACCAGCTGTATCATACAACTAGGAAGATTGTATTTAATCGTATGGAGACTGTGACTACCCGTTGGACAAGTCTGTATACTTAGCGAAATTCAGTCGGTTTAATCACGAGTTTGCAAATGTCACGACTTGAATGGATGCAATCCGAAGTTTCTATTGGGCACACATATGTACTCATCCGACGTGATTGATTACGTGTGCATGTAAGGCGCTTTCATATTGCTGAACGGTTGCTGAAGAAATTTACCGCTTTTGTCCTGAGCAAAAACTACCTGTCAATCTGAGCTTGGAGCTTCGAAGATCACTGTTTGATATTTTCGTTTGTTCATCATGTACGGACCTATGCCTATACTCTGTGTGATAAACGACTTAACATGGGAAACATGGGAAACTGGTGTTAGACGGAAAGGCTTATGCTGGCATACTTTTCACACTTCTAAAGATGCGTGTAGAAGATGTTTTTTTGTCGCGCTATGTTGGCATGGAGGATCTTCAGTTCTTGTGTTTCCCTTTTTCTATATGGCATCTGCTTGAAGTGGTCCTTACGGCAAAAGACCTAGTCAGTGCCATATCAGCATTTCACAACAGAATTTTGACATACTGTACATTACATTTTCAATTCATGGTCAGCATGTACAAGGTGCAAAGTATCTAAAGCGATTTCGTAGCAAAACACGAGACAAATCCGAGTTACGTAGTTCGATAGAAGGGACCTGAATGATGGGTTTCAGATGAACTAAACTCAGCATCAGTTAGTATCAAACAGAAAGCAAGAAACACATACATCGGTTAGTACGCACATATCCGCGAGGGATGCGAATTATCTTTTATTCCACCAATAGCAACCCTGTTTCAACATGGTTTTTACAAACATACATGTTAGCTAGTGGAGCCATCATCCTGCTAAGAGTGCTTGTGTATACTGGTAAGTAATACATGCGCAGGTGTGAATTTTCAAAACAATAGGAGCATGTGAACAAACAGGGGACGCACAACAACTGGTGGATCGACTTTGTGGCGTCTGGTTAATATTAGTAGCGGTGAATAACAGCTGTTGAACAATACATGGTTTACCATGCGTGCCATACAGGAGTAATGTACCCAGAACAAGACAGGAAGAAACGAAGACGTACAGCGCATTAGCCGGTTTGGTATGACTGAAGTAACCAGAACGGAAATGGTAATGGTAACAATGTCATTGGAAACTGTAACATTCAAACCACCATTGATAGGGTGCGATAGGATGCATGAGGCATAGAAAAGCACATTAGTAGTGTAGCTATTAGATATCAGATAGGGTGCGATAGGATGCATGAGGCATAGAAAAGCACATTAGTAGTGTAGCTATTAGATATCACCGTGAATCCAAGTGGTGATTGGATAGGTTTATAGGGACATGGCGATTTCTCACACGATTCAGGCAACAAGCATGGCTACATGGAGGGAGATAACATACATATATATGTATATGTGCATACAGCAACATATATATATATACATATATGTATGGTCATGGGTATATGTTATGATTGTGGTACTTGCACGCTTCACTTCAATGGCGGTGAGACGTGGTAATCTCTTGGTTGCTTTGTCCTCGGCTGGTTTTATCCATGGCGCCAGGCGACGCAGGAATGCTATGCACCAAGATTTCCACGTGAAGCGCGGCCAGGCTTACACGCACCACATCGCAGAGGAAACGCCTTACAACCGTGACTTTCGCACCCAGGTTCCCCAATTTCAGAGGATGCCTGCGGCCATGCCCGGATGCTGCACGTCGAATACCTCCTTTGCAATGCCGCCAGTCGTCTCCAACCATACGCTGATGCAGAATGCAATCGGGTGGGGAAGCTTCCATCACCCGCCCGCACCTGTCAGCAATCATGTGCAAGTCGTCCTGGATAACATCCTGCGTTTGCAGTGCATGGGACCTGTTCAGGCCGAACTCATGCTCAAATTTGCAGCTGCCCAGCAAGGGCCCTATACAGATTAAAGAGCAGCGCGCTCTCAGAAAGATTTGCACACCCTTAGAGGTGAAATTTCTTCAATCTATATTTCTTCATGCAAGAATTTAGCGATGCGGTTCAACAACGAACTGATTCCTCTGGCCCGACCGGGCACTGCATGGTACTGTCGAACGGAGTTGTGTGCGAGCCTGCTAAAAGTTCGGCGTGTTCTTCGCAGAATCTGCAATTGAAGCCTCCGTTTATTTTAATATATCGGGTCTATATTTATATTTCGTAAATTCAATATAATTAGAAAATTATGGGGAATTCCGAAAATAGGGGACCCTAATATAACCCCCTAAATAATAGGATCCTTATTATAAGGACTCCAAAATAAGGTACCCCTAATTTTCGGAAATTCCCTTATGTTCTTATAAGGTTCAGTTTCAATAATTATTGTGGTTCTGATTTGTCGTTATAAATAAGATTAAGGAGATTTCTTAAGAAAAATCTGATTAATGGGGGGAGGCAAGATTTCATTCATATCGAAAAGAATAAATTTTTATTTCTGTTCATATTCTTCTGATAAATATTTGAGAAAATAAATAATTAGATATCGGTAAGACTTATATTTTGATAGGGATTTTAATTTTTATATTGAATTTAATTATTTTTGGAGGCTATATTTATATTTTTATATAATTAGATATTTGATTATTTTATTATCTTCTTTCTGATATAATAAATTGATTAATTTTGATATATATATATCTGAAGTTTCTAAAATTAATTAAATTAATATTTTTATGGATTAGGCGTATATCTAAATATTTATTTTCTTGGCATTAATTCTAGAGATTCTATTCAGAATTAGATTTAATATATATCTAGATATTAATTAATTCAATATTTATATTATGAATAAGAATTTCGATATTAGACATGATATGGTGATTTCTGAAAATAGAGGCTTCCAATATGATATTTAAAATAATAAATTTTTTATTATAAGACTCTTAAATAAAATAAGCTATCGCAATTTTTAGAAATTCTTAAAGGAATCGAAATATTTATTTTTTCAATAGATTTCTGGAGATTTAATATTCGAAAATAGATATCTAAAAATTATTTGGTTTAGCCTCCACATAGATTTCGAAACCGAGCCTGGTGCCAATTTAGTAATTCGAAGACCGGTCGATTGGATTTTTATCTAAGCCTCGATAATATTATAATCTTTGCTGGAAGCTTTGCCCATTGACGAAGAAAAACGAAGAAGATATAATAAATCCCGTTCCCATTGCGAAATACAATATTTATAAGTATACCTGGTCGATATCATTCTGCTCAGATCTTTGGAATCAAAACGAAAAATTCTAGTGAAATTATTTTCTTAAGTATTTATTTCAATCTTCGATAGATCTTGGATTAGATATAAAAGATCTATCTTCCGGATGATTGCCGCAAAGGTCATATGGAGATATCTTATATAAGAATATCAGTAATAGTATTTATACGTACTAGTGGTAGTGGAAGCAAAGATAATAGAAATAATAATCGTATTCATAATAATAAATAGCATTAATAGTCGTAGAAGGCAAAAGATATAGAGTACTAAGGGTCGTCGTTATCGAATCAAAGAATTGCCTAGAGAAGAAGAAATAATAATAAGAAGATAAATAATATTAATGATTCACCTCTTGAATTTAATTTTCTGAAATCGAATATCTGTACGGCAAATAGCTATTTATCATCAAATTTTCATATGCCATGATATTGAAGATATATATCTTGAAATTATATTATTATTTTCAAAAAAATTCTATGGGGAATATTATGAATATTATTATTTTAATTAATTCATTCTTTATATTTGAATTCAATTATTTTATTACAATAATAATTAAATTCTATAATTTTCCTGAAAGAATTCATAATATATTTTTTTATTGAAAAGAAAAATCTCAAGATTTATAATTATTCTATTTTTAGAATCTCCTTATTTATCGTAGCTTTCTAAAATTATTTATATATATATATAGAAATTTAAATTCAATATATTTTAACGAATTGAAATATAAGATATCATATAATATAATTTCGATATTCTTTCAATATAAATTTGAGAATATCATCTTTATATAAATAAGCGATCATCCTTTTTTATATTTATAATAAAATATATCGAATACCTCAAAAATTTTTTAAGAAATTATCTCTAAATCCTTAAATTCTTTTCAATAAAAGATTTCGAATTCCTAAAGATCTTTTTAGGAAAGTAGATCTAAAATAATTTCTTAAACAAGCGATTCAAATATCTCTTAGAATATAAAAAGAATTCTTAAATATATTTAATATTCTGAAATAAGATATAGCTAATCTTCTAAATTATCTCAGAGGTAATCGATAAATCTTTAAAAATAATATAAATATTAAGTTTTTAAAATAAAGCGAGATTATTTAATTCTTTTGTTAGAAATAATAGATTCATACTATTATTT